GAATAAGGATAGCCGCCGTAGTAGCTATAGTATTCATAGGGTTCGGCGTCACGCTTTTGTCTGTCAGCTGTAATCGGTGTTTAAAATTAATTTTAAATAAGTGAACGTGGAGAATATAAAATCAAAAAGAAACTACCTTCAGCATCGGCAGAACGTTTATGAACATTATATTTATATCCGGATCCGTATCCGTACGAATAAGGATAGCCGCCGTAGTAGCTATAGTATTCATAGGGTTCGGCGTCACGCTTTTGTCTGTCAGCTGTAATCGGCATTTAAAATTAAATTTAAATAAGTGAACGTAGAGAATATAAAATTAAAAAGAAACTACCTTCAGCATCGGCAGAACGTTTTTCTTCATGAGCTATTAAAAATTGATTTATAGTTAATAAAAATATGAAAAATATGTATTGCATATATCAATGTCCTAAATAAAAACCTTCTGCAAAGACTAAGGCTGCAAAAGCCAAGAGGGCAGCTAACACGATGAGTGATTTGTAATTCATTTTTATCGAACTCTATTTATCTTGAGATTGTGAGGTGAAGAACTTTGGAGAGCTGGTTGAGGACGTTTATATACCTTCAGCAAGTTCCAAGCCTTACCCTATTTTCTGTATTAAAAAACGACATCAGCTGCGTTTCTAAATGACTTTTCATTAAAACAAAAAGCCTTCATTCTCATTCCAAGAACGAATTCATATTCCAATTGTAATTCGAATGAATTTCCAAAGCCTTGATTTAAATCGGGCATTTACTATGGTTATTTTGCTCACTGGAATCTATCATCATCTTTTTTATGAGAAGCTATATATGGACTCGATTATGGTAAAAGAGCGAATTTATCTTATCCGTCGTAGTTCATTGTTTCTCCGATTTGGTTGGTGTATATAACAAAGTCGTGTGCACGGAAATTTTAAATATGGCATTCTTATAGACAATAACCTGTTTTACCCAATGCATTGTTAGTTCCATTTTAGTAATAAAATCGTTTTTTGTTATGCCACTCAATCATGGAATTCATTTATTATACCAGTAAAATTCGTGAATCTAATATTTTATTAATTCAAAAAATTTTATTAATTTAAATTATTTTATTAATTAATTAATTTAAATAATTTGAATTATTATTATTTGAATTGATTATTTTATAAAATATCACGAAACATCCTGTATATATTTTATTGAATTTACAATGTTTTTTTAATTGTAAAAAAGAGAAATATTTTTACGAGTAATAAGAAAAATAAATTATTTCCATAAAAATTCAACTTATTAAATATCTTTAATTAGCAAGTTTTATAAAAACTCAGTAATTTTTAGCATCGAAAGTTTCTAATATATTGTATGTACCGCATATATTTATATGATTATGAAAATAACAGATTTTTCAATAATGTTAATAAATGACATGCATTAATCGAAGCATTTGTTTCCTTTAATTATAATATACGTAAATCCTTTCACGTATATGATAAATATTTATAATTTATTTTACTCATTACTGAGAATTCTTCACATTATCTACAACTTGCTCACAAATTCACTAAAATATACAACCGGAACAGCGGCAGGACCCAATTTCATGTTTCTCTTCCACGCAATCACGTCTTCTATCAACTCATTCTCCTGATCCATTTCCAACTTAGGATCACCCTCGTCCTTCTCCGAATTTAATTTTGTAACATTCTTTATCAGATCTTCGATTTCATCTTTCTTAAGTTTATTATGTTCAACTAAGAATTCTCTCAGTAAATCTTCAAGTTTCGGACCATTGATCAATTCTTTCGATGAGAAAAATGTCGTCAACTCTTCAACTTTAATGTTTAGACCTTGTTCGATAAGAAAGGTATGAAGATCGTTGATTTCAATTTGAACCGATCTTTTTGTCTGAGCAGATTTCTGTGATCGCATATGAACAGATAGTTTCCTTTGAACTGGCGATGACGGACAAATTAAAGTTTTATAGAATTCCAAAAGGTCAGATTTGGTGATTTTGCGTATTTCGGAAACGTCCTTTTCAACTGGGAGTAGTAATGGTAAAAGAATGAATGCCTATAATAAGGAATGAGTATTTGGAAAGATTTTTTTTTTTTTTTACCTTGGTCAAAATTATAATATCCCGAATCTATATGTCCCCAATATCGGCGTGCTTCTTGAGTCAAATTTTTCGGCTTTTCTAACTTTTTAGTTATCAGCGATTGAACCTGTTTTTGATATTCCTCTTCAGACATTTCTTCAATTATCGTCTAGAATGTGCATCAGTTTAAAATTTATTTACGTATTATATGACAACATAATCACTTTTCAATACCTGTAATTTGTACAAAAAATGTACAATTCTGTTCTCTAGATGA